AGCAACAGCAGCAACAACAACACCAACAGCAACAGCAGCAGCAACAACAACAACACCAACAACAACAACAACAACAACAACAACAACAACAACAACAACAACAACAACAACAACAACAGCAACAACAACTGCAACAACAACAGCAACAACAACAACAACAAAACTGCTGCTGCAGGTGCGTTTGTGGCTGTGACTGCACTGCTACTGCTACGGCTACCGCCACTGGCTACTGCTGCTGCTGCTGCTGAAACTGTTGCTGCTGCTTCTGCGGCTACTGCTGCTGCTACCACTGCTGCACTACTGCCACTGCTGCTCCCGCTGGTGCTGCTGCTGCCGCTGCTGCTGCTGCTGCTCCTAGTATACTACGGTAAAGAACACACACACACACACACACACACACACGCATGTTGCGGGTCGTTGCCAACAATCAGTCTTCACTAATATAGATGTATGTAAATGTTCATACATACTCATATATATATATATATGCAGATTAGTTTTAGAAATGTTCTGTGTGTGCATCCTAACGAATGTGTAGAACGGTACACATCGTGTTGGGTAATGGGATGTGCTTAAACACGTGTGTTAGTGTTGTAAACTTGAAAACCGATATATCCATAGAACTGCGTGTTTTTGTGTACATGATTGAATCATGTTTGTATTATCTTTACAAACAATACATATACAATATATGCATATACTGTTGCATGATTTTGTAGGTGAAAGTGTACGTGCCGGATGTATGTACAAGTATATACTTCGACTGAGCATGGTCACAAGCATAAACGGCCAACCCAATCAATGTACCATAAAAATGTCACATAGCTCCATACATACTTTTGCTGCACAGCCGGATAGAATAAGCATATGCATCATGCATGTATACATAGATACACACAACTAAATCTCTCTGTCTCTCTCTCTCTATATATATATACACACTCTATACATATATATACATATACACATGATCACATGAATATGACTGTTTTCAACCTTAAGGCTTCCCAGCCTTTCCACCCAAGGTGTCAAAGGCTTGACAGCCCTTGCCGAACCCTAACAACATTTGATCTTGTCGCTTTAGGTTTGCCGGCTAGCACTTCCTGGGGAGATAGGACTTGCCCTGCCAACATATCACTCAGCCAAAAGCATTCTCTCCGAGCCTGTCCTTTTGACTTAACGGTTTAGGGTCTGCCAACATGTCCGGAGATGTAGGGTAAGAGGATACTCCATGTCTTTTCTTTAGAATTTGCCAGGCAACTTCTCTACACGAGGTTTCGTGGTTCCAAACAATTCGTCTGGTGATTCGACTCGACTCTGGCAGCCACAATCTCCGTTGAAATTTAGGGCTTCCCTGCCAAATCCTCCTTCTAAGTCTGTGGGGCCGACTACGACGACATACTACTGCTGCGACGACTACTATGGCTGCTACACTACGTATACCACAGACGCACAATTATGCATCTTCACGCTATGGCGTACTTCTTCCGTCGCTGCTGCTGTCTTGCACAACTGTTGCTACTGTAAACTAATGACCGGTAACTACTACGCGTAGTGCTGTGAGTTCTGCTATCAATATCTATACCCGTATGTGCGGCAAGTGTTGCTGATACCACTTCCGCTAGCGACGGCTACTCTTAGCCGCATGGCTTCCGGAGCACTTAGTTCCACTAATTAGTGCTATGTTCGCTGTTTGCACCATGATTGGCCTCGTAACCGCGATGTAGCTGGCTGTTTCTGTCGTGGTTTAGGGTGCCAAAAGCGTTCTCGTGGTACCACCGCTGCTGTTACCAGGTAACATCCGAACAGTCGCAGCTGCAATCGGTCTCGTCGCCATTCCCGGGCCCATTCCCTCTACTTTTGTCGTAGTATAGCAATACAATAGTATTAAAGCTATCTACACTACCGCTGTCAATATAATTTTTGTTGCTCTTGCTAGAGGCCTGCCCACAAGAAGCGGTCCAACACCAGCATGCCTTCATTCGTTCCCGGTCTCAGGAACGGCGGCAAGCTCATCCTCACTCGGTTTCCCAACCACAACGGGCAAACGATTCTCTGGCACATCCTTTTTGATTGAATCCAACATGGGTACCGTTCGCCGAGCCTGGTATTGGAGAGCCACATGTGATGCTCCAAGAAGCATCGCTGAACCGCCACAATAAAGACATGCCGAAAACACATCAGGCACGAGACTCGATGACCACTGTGCCAGAAAGGAAAGTGCAGTGGCGACAAATGCCACCGCAACGCTTTTCAGCCTGTCCAGCCAAACGTGGCCCTGGTCGCCGCGAAAATAATTCGCCAACAGTGCGGTCGCTTGAAACATGAAGGGCCACAAGAACAAGCACCAAGCCAGGACGCCCCAAACAAGCACTCCCACCACGGTCCAGTTTCCGGTACGGCCACGTGCTGCGATGAGATCTGCAAAGCCCCATAAGATACCCGAGCTACCCATGACTTGCCAACCATACGGAAACAATAATCCACCCAACTGTCGATACAGAGTGGCCCTGACCTTGGTTCTTACAGTCACCTCGAAGGCCTCGACAGACCCATACCATGTTTGAAGGCATCGCGCGATGATCGCACGATCACAAACATTGGCAGTACACGTCACTCCGTCGTTGCAGCAGTGACAGCGGGCAGATTGGACTGTGAAGTCGGAAAGCTGCTTGAGCATAATCTCCGTGTTCCGGTAGTGCTCACGCAAATAGGACGCAGTGAGGTATAAGAAGAACCACCGTGTCAGCACAAGCAAGAGAATGTCCAAAAGGGATTGCTCGCTAGCCAAAATGAAATGTATCGTTGAAGCCCAGTTAGCGAAACCAACGCCCAAGATGCAGGGAGCCATGGCTGTCAGCCTAATAGTAACCTTCGTATCGGGCTGTTCGTGACTTCTCAGGAATGCTGCAAGTCTAGCAGGCACCATAGGCGCCCAGCGAAAGTGCTGTCCCAAACAAGCAGAAACTGGTCGGAGCACTTCAGGAATGCGCCAATGCTTAAGATTCCCTTGGATTTCTGCACCTTATCCCTCTGATTGATACATACTCGGTCAAGGAAAACCAAACTCCTCGCTTTCCATTGCAGAAGCACGACCACGAAGACAAACCCTGCTGTCAGCGCAGACCACGGGGCACGCACCGCCATCGTTTCTTGCTCTTGCTCCATTGCCATCCTGCTAACTCGTGAGAAGCCTGGAAGGTATCCCGCAATCTGGAGCGACATCACCAAGAGAGCTGAGATGGTGGCAGCAATTGCTGCAGGAGGCCCGTTGTACAGCAATAGCAGTAGCAGCCTCTTGAGGAAGTTGTTGCCATGCCAGCTGTGACTCCAGAAAACTTGAATCGAATCCACTGGAAAGCTCCGCTCATACAGATCCTGATTAGTCCTCCCCAATGCAGCACCAAAGGATTGCAGCACTTGCCATGCCGGAGTTGCTCTGACGAGGTTTCTTTCCAAAGGTGCCATGCTAGCCAGGCTGCAGGCCAAGTCAGCAACGACGTCGCCGCTGTCGAGGAGCTCTGGCCCAACTTCTGTGGGAGATGCCATTGCCCCTCGATGGGGAAGTGACACAAGACTAAGAATGGTCCTGCAGGGCTCTATCTACCTCCAGGTCACTTCTGCAACATGTTTTTGCGAAGGGAAGTGGGGGTGGGTCATGAATCAGGGGACCGCTCGGATATAGACGACTAGTTAGTTGTACCAGGGCTTTGAGGAGCCTTCCTTATACGATGCCATACCCTAAACCCTAAACCCTAAACCCTGGGTTTAGGGTCTAGGGTTTCGGGAACCGGAAGGGGGACTTCTATCGCTACTTTATGGAGGCCCCTGTGCTGCCCAGCTGCAGGCTGCCAGGACCAGGACGATGGCCCCCAAAGCCCACCAGACCCAACTGTAGCCTTCCACCAGGTTTAGGGTTTAGGGTTTAGGGGTTTCGGTTCAAGGAGGGCTCTAAACCGTAGGAGCTTTCACGTTTGCGGGAGGGAGTATCCCTGGAGCTCTAAACCCAAATCGCCTAAACCCTGAACACCTGTAGGTCTGTGGGTCTTTACAGGTGTCTACAGACTTTACAGGTGCCCAACATGGAACTTCTGCTGGCATCGGTCGGAGTTGGCTTCTCTAAGTACTGCTCAAGGCTGGTCTTCACATTGCTGGTCGGTCATGACCATATAGTCGTAGGTGAAGGGGCGCTTACGGTCGTAATCAGATCGAAAGTACAATGGCAAGTGTAAGTAATAGCAGTAAGAACAGAGTAATGCTAGTACTACTACGAATGCTGATCATAGCAAGAAGACGAAATACTATGTCTAGCTCTCTTCTGAAAGTCCCGCACCAGCGGTTTTATCTGAGCATACCACTTCAACACTGGGAAACGTCAAACAGCAGCCCCACCCAAAGGATCCTCGGGCTAGTGTAGGGCTTTCGTCCCAAAACCCTAACCTTGAACCCTAAACCCTGACCCCTAAACCCTTTAAACCCTACACCCTGAACCCTAAACCCTTTTAACCCCAAGCACGAGAGGTAATGCCGAGCCTGCAACTTCTCGCACCCCGAAAACTTTTTCAGGGAGTCCCCACGCCGTGCCATTGATCCTTGGGCGCAGGGGCTTCAGGTCCAGCGAATTGGCTGTTTTAGGCTTCGGGATTTAGGGGTTTCGGGTTTAGGGTTCAGGGGTTTAGGGCTCTAAGGTCCAGGCAATGGTAAAAGAAGGGGCCTTAACCATCAGATCAAAGAAGGGGCCCGAACACTCAGAATAGGGTTGTGGGGTATATTATACTATGGGCATACTCTACCCTAAACCCTAAACCCTAAACCCTAAACCCTAAACCCTATCTACCATAACTACTTTAAGGAATCCCCAGAGCTGCTTTGTTACTTTCTAGGCCCCTATACAATACGAATCCAGGCAGCGTTCCCACATCACTGAAGACACAAATCTCCGAAGCTGCAGGACTCAAGGCCTTTCCTTCCTTTAGGATCTAGTCTAGGGTTTAGGGTTTAGGGTTTAGGGTTTAGGATCTAGGGTTTAGAGAAGGGGTGGATGAACGGATTAAGCGATTCGCAAGATGTGGACATTCCATCATGCATCCACTCTGAAATACGCGCAATGATACAAGTGCTGCTGTGCGGTACTAGAGTTTTGAGTACAGCGGTCAAACGGCTCCATCGTCGCCCTAGCTAAACCTCATGGGCAGCTCGTGGATAAAGACCAACACAACCAACACCATAAGCGGGCAGGAACAACAAAGAAGCAACACGACCACTCGAGACGCCACCGTAACGAACACAGCGGTGGCAATAACAACGTTTAGGGTTTAGGGTTCAGGGTTTAGTGTTTAGGGTTTAGGGGCAAGGACGAGCCAGAAGAGGAGGGAGACGATGGCCACTTCCCTGAATGCCCCGAAGCTCAAGCCACACTAAACAGTGGTCAGGCGTCGCCACGGTGTAGCCAAAGGCATTCCTCAGCGAAAGCATCGGTGGTAGTCGAAACAGAAATCATTGTGAACAAAAATACCCCTCTCTACCGTTAGCCCCTGATCACCTGCACCGCAACCGCCGGGGGCTGCGAAGTTCCAAAACCCGCGAACTGAATCCCTCAGCCGAACCTTCTGCCCTAGCTTGCCACTGCCGAGTAGGCATGTTCCGAGCAAAAGGTTTTGGGTTCTGGGTGGAGGGTTGCCCAGAAGGTATATGGTACCCTCAACCCTAAACCTTAACCCCGAATCATAAAGCCTAAACCGAGTAGATCGAAACTCCATCTGAAGAATCACCTAGTACAGAATCCTAACCCCAAGAACCTAAAGGTCACAAGCAGGCTGCAAGCATTGCGGAGAACGAGGCCGAGCATCACTTCATCCGGACTTCGTCCAAGCTGTGCTTCATCCGGAGAAGCCCCCAGGCCAACCGGACCTTCCATTCGCTGCGCTTTGGTGTCTGGGTGATGTTACATACTACGTAATCTAGAGGCCTTCATAATTAGAATATGTAGGGTTTTTTGGGGGCCATGATTCTATACTTCTAAGAAGGAACCCCCTATATTACCTCTGTTAGCCAGCACTTTCAGCTCTAGCATCGTCTATTTTATGGAAAGTTTCGGGCCCTAGCATAAACCCGAGAATAGAAATTGGCCTCTGCTATGCTTGGTTGTGGTACATACTAAGTACGTATCTCGAAAGCAAGACAGAGGCCCTGCGCCACGTTCCCCAAGCCCAAATATCCCTTCGCATCCGAAGTACGCAATGTAGACTCCTTAAGAAGGGTTAGACAGAGAAGACCCTGAACGCAAAGTCCTCAGCGCCTGAATTGAGGATCCTAAGCCATATGACCTAAAGGCTCAACAACTATGGCAATACGCCTGAAGACCCAGCGAGAATGGAAAAAATATCGACATCTTGGCACAGATAGGTAAGCATCAGCAAACAAGATCCTCCACCACCGGAGAATGTCGACCTAACCAGCCTTGTAGAATCCCTATAAAACCGCTAACAAGAATTCAGTAGTACACTTTTGGAACCCTTACAGGTACACCAATCCAGCTTTCTGCAGAGAAGCGAATGCCCGTCGGCGAGATCTCGATGCCGGGGGCCACGGTTACCAAGCCCTGACAACTCTGGTCGACTAGGGCTTTAGGTTTAGGGCTTATGGTTCGAAGTTTTGCATGTCGAGGATCAGGGTTAGCTTTTTCGGCTATCGGGTGCAACGACTTCGGGCTCGGTACTGAGTTTCAGGTTTTAGAATGATGCTAACATGAATACAGAGTATGAAACGCAAAACGGGCTCCGAAAACTATGCTGAGCATCAAGACCCCCCTAGATCCGACCCCGCACTGGTTCAACACCTGTCCTGTCGGCATTGGGGTTCAGATATCTACTGCCGTAAGAGGCCACCCGAAACCCGACACCTTTCGCATGAGCATCTCCATTGCCCCCATCTCCGCAGTGGAGGCACTGGGAGGGCCTACTAAGGCTCTTGACTTGGGATCAAAAGCTCGACTTCCCAGTCGTGCTTTTGAGGCAAGTCTTTTGGAAATTGTATACTCGGCATGGTAGGGTGATCTAATGCAAACTGGGACATAACTGCATCCTAGCTGTTGGCGCGGCTGCTCTACTCGACAAAGGGACATGATACGCTACACCCTTGCCCGGGACATGATTTAACAACACGCAAAATCTTGAATATCCTGAACCCTAAATCCTTTAAACCCTTTAAACCCCAAACCCTAAACCCAAAGGCAGAACGGGTTCGTCACAAAGAGCCATCCGCCTGGCGGAGGCCGGGTCTCTGAAGCAAGAGCCGAAGTCTTCAACCCTGAACTGTTTAGGGTTTAGGGTTTAGGGCTCGTGGGCTTTAGGCTTTGGGGTTCAGGGGACCATAGTCCCAACAGTAGACGGTTAAGGGTGCGGGGTTCAGGGGACCATGGTCCCAACTGTAGACGGTTTAGGGTTGAGGCTTTGTCAGCTTAGGGTTTAGGGTTTGTATTACTATAGGGTTTAGAAGGGGTTTAGGGCGACTACACCCGCCCAGGCCTCTTCATTCATATCAAGGGCAGCGTCTGCGGTCGTGGTCTGCAAAGCAGAGGCTCGGGGTATCGCATCCTCTCTCCGTCTTAGTGCCTCAGTCTTACCTGTTGCTTCTCTTCAGAAGGCTAAGCAAGCTTTAATGACAAGAACGGTGTCGACTATGATGTTCGACGACCGTAGCATAGATAGAAATGATAGAAACATACACTGATCCTGATCGCTCTCTTGTGCAGCAATGTATAGATTGAACTTCATACAGCTCTGCAGTGACGATGCCACACTATCGTCACTATTTCATCTACCGACCCAGGACAGTTCAGAACGCAAACGCTGACCTCGGTTCCTTCAAACCCGAGCTCGAACTATGAGTACCGAAACTTGAAGTGGATCCTGACCCCTTAATATAGGGGCAATAATTACCTATACTATTTTCGGGGCTTCTTATTATGATTATAGTATAATGGGCCCCAAAACCCTATTCCAACTTATACTACGCTTCAGCTCTTTTCGCGGGGGTCTGGCTTTCCGGTATTGGTCAGGTCAGGCCCCTCCTGTTTCAACTCAAGTCCCGCAGAACTCCGCCCTCCTAAACCGAGGATGCTGGAGGGGATTCTCCCTACCCCAAAGCCCCCTGAACCCTAAACCCTAAACAAACCTCCCCAAAGCCCCCTAAACCCTAAACCCTGAACCCTACACCCTAAACCCTACCCCAAAGACCCCAAAACCCTAAACCCTAAACCCTACACCCTAAACCCTACCCCAAAGCCCCCTAAACCCTCAACCCTAAACCCTAAACCCTACACCCCAAAGCCCCTAAACCCTCAACCCTAAACCCTACCCCAAAGCCCCCTAAACCCTCAACCCTAAACCCTAAACCCCTAAACCCTACACCCCCTAAGCCCTACACCCTAATAAGGATTTCGGGGCCGAGAGCTTCGGAGCTCAGCTGTGAGAGTCGAAGGCTCTGAAAAAGGGTGACCCTATAACCATAATTTATAGGGTTTAGGGTTTTTGGGGTTTAGGGTTTAG